TTATTAGTTGTATCTGGTATGCTCATTGTGGAAACTGATTCTCACTATCCTCAATTGTTCTTGGAGTAAAAGAGTGCAAAAGTTACTGATTCCTTTGAGGTATCTCTCTCTCCTTTTTTTTTTTTTTAACAGATTTTTGTTTTTTTGTTTTTGGTCAGTTGTGGGGCTTGAACTCTGGGCCTGAGCGCTGTCCCTGAACTCTTCAGCTCAAGACGAGTGATCTACCACTTGAGCCACAGCACCATTTGAGGTTTATCTCTTTATGAAGCAAAAATAATGCTCTCCTCCTTTTATATTAAAATTATAGCAGGCTCATGATGACTACTGTTTTTATTTTCCATGGCACAGTCTAGAGTGTCTCCAAAGGAGCGTGTAGTGTAGTAGCAAAACACCAGAAGACGGTGTCGCTATTATAACCTCTTTGAGAGCAGCCACTGGGTCGTCCGCCTGTCCACAGGACACCCTTTAAACAATGGTTGAGTGAATGAATGGGACTGTTGATTTCCTTCTTTGTCCTGACTTGAACTTAGTGTAGCTCATCAATGGTAATTTGAGTCTGTCTTGATTCAGGTACGTTCAGAATAGTTAAGCTTCTCAGAGGCAAAAGATGTAACATTTCTTTTTGTGTAATTCACCTTTTAACAATCTGATTGGTTAAAAACATTACTAACACGGCTACACGAAGTTAGATCTCACTGTATTAATATCACCTCTTTTCTTGTTCTTATTGTTCATATAAATATCTAGGCTTAGTTAGGCAGCACATCCGTGAATCGTTAGCGCTTCGAAGTGACTGTTAAGTGTAACCCTGTTCCCCTGAGTCTCACTGGCCAGTGAATGGGCAAGCTGATTAATTTGTGGAGCCCACATGACTTTTGGTCCCTGGGCTGTTCCAAGAGAACCACTGAAAGGCAAAGTAGCCTTATTAAGTACTTCCAGTAACTCTATAAAGATGGTCTATGAATAATGTCAAAGTTCTAATTGCTTAGAGGGCAGAAGTCAGAATAGATACTTAATTGTGGGCCACAAATATTAGCAAAGTTTCTCTGGCAAATTGCTTTCCCTAATGATGCTCAGAAGGAAGGGATGGAGAGCTGCGGTGGCCGCAGTGCTCTGGTTAACAGCAGAAGACAATGGACTGGAAGGAAGGACGGTGAACCCCCCCGCGCCCCCCCCCAGCTTTGTTAGAGCTTTGCCGATCTTGCTCCACAGTTTTCAGGTTTTGTTGTGTTTGTGGGGTGCAAAGAACTAGGAAAGGCTTAGGCCCCCTCAGCCATCCTGTAGAAAGATGACGTGGTCCTTTGCTAAACAGCACTGGACGCCTGCATTCCTATTGAGTTTTCTGTGGTTAGCTTCCAGCATCCTGCTTTTCTGTACACTTGTGTTAATGTGTTTTTGACAGCTGCTGCTTATCCCTGGGAAGTCAGTTGAGACTTTATAGAGTATAAGTAGCTACGGAGCACTGGTTTAGTGCCTTTGCAAGTCTCTCAGATGATCATTCTTGGAGGATGTTTTCATGATTCTATATCCAGTGTCACAAAGGACAGAGAAGGCGCGAGCACTCACGTATCTCCCCTCCCCTCCAGCACTCAGCGTGACAGACGCTCGTTCTCTACCTCCATTTGCATCCTGGTGCAACTGAATCCCTCCACGAATGACTGAGTTCAGGTCATGCCGTCGCTGTGTTGGGCTATGATTTTGTACTACTGTCTAATTATGTAGTTGTTTCCTTAAATAGAACTTGGACCTTGAGGGCTTGTTTGGAGGTTCTAGCAGGGGAGTGCAGCTACTCATATACCCTTGACCGAAGACGGGGCCTCTTCAACTGAGAATGGTAAGGGAGGCAGGGGAGACCGCTTAGCCAGCCAGACCGATCAGCCAAATCAAGTCCGGTGATCAGCGGGTGACAAGACGTCACAGCCAGATCGCCCTCACATCTTTTTAACTTTGTTTCACAATTTTCTGCTTTCCCCGAACCTTTAGGACCTGCCCTTTTTGCTGTTGGCAGCAGAGGGGAGGGCTAGCTCACTGGGGAGCCAGCTGCTGCGCCTGCACTTGAGGTTTTCACTATAGGCGTATTTTGTTTAGTGGTAGGGACTTCTCTCCCCAGTCAGTCTGGGATACTTCAAACAAGGCATACAATTTGCTGTGTTCCTCAGACTTTATTACTGTAGATTGTGATTTGGCCTTTGTGGGGCTATCCAGAATCTTAGTCTTTCCCTGAACACTTGAAAAAATAAAAGTTCTTTTTTTTTGGGGGGGGGGTCTGGTCATGGGGCCTGAACTCTGGGCCTGGGCGCTGTCCCTCAACTCTTCAGCTCAAGGCTAGCGCTCTACCACTTGAGCCACAGCACCACTTTTGGCTTTTTTTTTTTTCTTTTTGCTTATGTGGTGCTGAGGAATCAAACCCAGGGCCTCAGGCATGCAAGGCAAGCGCTCTACCACTGAGCCACCTTCCCAGCCAAAATAAAAGTTCTATATTCCACTTCACACTGGGCTTCAGATTCTTGCACAGATTTACTCATTGGTAAAATTAACAAACTCAGACAATGTATAGGGCTTTAGAGCACTGTGAGTTGCTCTTATTGGAGGGGTTTTTATTTAATTCTTAGGATTATCACAATAACCCTGCAGCTAGATGGTAGTCATGGTTCTCCACATTACATAGTATGGCAATTAAGAGAATTTTAACTGTGGCTGTAGTAATCATTGGCCTAATCTCAGCCCATAAACCTAGGAAGTCCCCTCATTTGTAAAATGCAGAGACATCTATTTTATGAGAGAGAGAGAGAGAGAAAGAGAGAGAGCGAGAGCGGGAGAGTCTGTGTGCACCACTGTGTGCACCAGTGCCTCATGCTCTTTTGCACTTAAGTCTGGTACTCAACAGTTGAGCCACACCTCCATTTCTGGATTTTTGCTGGTTCATTGGAGCTAACTCTTGGATCGGCCTGCCTGGTCCACCTTCCCAACGAGATTCTCAGATCCCAGCCTTCTGAGTAGCTAGGCTTCTAGGATGAGCCACTGGCACTTAGCTTTTTTATCCGTTAACTTCTTTATTTACATTTTATTTATTCTCTCCATTTGGAGCTGTTGGGTATTGTCCATCCTGTTCTCTGATTAACCTGTTAGAAAGTGTCACAAGAGGTGGCAACCAAGGAACCGGGGTGTCCGCTGTCCTGCAGGTGGAGTCTCCTCGATACAAAGATAAGGGGTCCTTTTAGGGGCTCTCTGCATTTCTCTAGATAGTTTTGAGAAATCAATATCTTGTGTTCATCACGTATACAACTGTCACACATCAAGAGATTTCAAAAATAAGAGGCATAGACTTCATACTGTAGTTTCTTTGCTGTGTAAACACTGGCGAATCTGGTCTTTTCACGTCACTCGGAAGTAAAGAAGTGGGTTGTCTTTTCTACTTCTGGGGAAAGTAATCGAGGCTCAGGATGCAGGGAACACAGGCTTCAGGCGAGGGGTAGACGGATGCAGTTGATGTGCGTCTCAGCCCTGTGGTCTCCTCTGTGTAAGGGAAGCGGTGGTACTGTTGGAGGCGTGAAGGAGCGTCACGGCGTACTCGGCACATGCGTGGCCCTTGGTAACAGCACTTGTCACCTTCTGTTGAGGAGGAGGTAATGTGGCATCCTGTCCCCGGGTGACAGCGGGATGGGCGCCCAGGCCTCCTCACGAATCACCGCGGGCTGCATACAGTGCTGTATACGTATGTGCTGTTCCTCTGCACTGTAAGGCGGAGTGTTTTGACCTTTTGGTTGCCAATTTATTTTTAATGTGCCTATTATGGATAGGTGTGTGGCTCGGCGTGTCTGCGTGCCACGCGCAATGCCCCCGATGTCAACATCCCAAGTTTACCTCATGTCACAGGCAACGTTAATGTGAGTGGATGCACATGACCAGTAAGAAACTTGACACTTTGCAAGCGCCGTCTGGTGGTGTTCGGGCCACGATCCTCAAAATGAAAGCAGCACTTGGCATGGTGGGACGCAGGGCATACAGAAGTCCTTAGATCACTCAAGACTCTTGGCGAACCATGCAGACAAGAAGGGACTGCTGTCTATGAATGTTTCAGAATGATTATGCTACAAATATCTTCTAGTCAAACAAAGACAGAGAGTTCTGAATCTAGCCTTAGAAGATTGAGTGGCTGGCTCATTGAATAGCGGTGAGAGTGAAGACATGAAATGATCATGTGTTCGTTCATGTGTAGCATTCAAAGAAAGTGGATGTCAACGTGGGGACAATCAGAAGGTTTCATGGTGGAGGAACGTTTCAGTGACTACCGTAGCAAGCAACCCAGTGAATGAGGCCAACAAGTTGGCTATTGAGGGTCAGCAGGAGAGAAGTAATACCAGGCTGTATTAACATGTGTGAGACAGTCTGACAGATCTAACTGGATTTGATTGCTATAGATTCTTGAGCAGTCTTCTTGAAATTTTCAGTTTGGATCAGAACTGTGTTCATCCATCGGGCCTCTTTATCGTGGTTGGAAGAAGTGCCCAGTGAAAGGTCCTATCCTTACGTTCAATGGTGATGTCAGGGAGATGGCATGACTTTTCGAGTATAGAAACTGTGATCCTAGTGTGGCTTTAGGAAGGCTGAGTAAGGAATCGTCCAGTGGCAGAAGACAAAAGGAGCTGCAGCAGCGATGAATGAGTGCCGACCTGAGAGTTTCAGCGACATGTCTAGACAGGGATGGAGTCTAAAGAGAAAGACTGGGGAAGTTGCTGGTCTCTGGAGTCTCATAGAGAGAGCAGAAGCAGTGTCTCCTCCTCTCATTCCACACCCACAGCAGAGCTGGCAGCTGATCTTGGTATGTTCTCCTACCAGGTGCAATGGCAGTCCAGAGCCTCAGTTAGCAGGTTGTCCCAGTGAATTTGAGAGTTGGCCTTGGAGTTCAAACCTACGTGTCATGTCTGGACTAAGCAGTGGGTGAGAAATAGATCATAACTATATTCACAGTTCAAATAAATCAATTTTTGCTTTTCCAGGTGGAACTGGCAGAAATCTGTGCCAAGAGTGAGCGTTACATTGGCACTGAAGGAGGAGGCATGGACCAGTCCATATCATTTCTTGCAGAAGAAGGAACTGTAGGTGGCACAGATTATTTGGAAATACCAACTGAGAGGAAATGAATATGGAGAGGAAGGCCTTGAGATCCCTAGCATGCTAGGGACAGGCAGCGCGTTCTGTTAGGCTCCACTGGAGGAGATTGCAGATGCTTTGTAACTCAGGGCTACTGCTAGTTAATTTGCTGTTCTACCTTCAGTATTTGGAATCATACCCCACATCAATTTTTCTCTTGCCTTTGTTGTTCAGGTATTTTGGCTCCCTAGTTATTGGGCCTCCGACGCTGCCCCTGCCCTGAATCACTCCATCCTGTGGCCTTTTCATGCTCTCACGTTGGCTTTCAAGCCAAGTGTTAGTTCCCCTACCATTTCTCTTCACAGCCCCTCTTTTTGTAATTTACTCTTTGGTATCATTTTTCTGTCAACATTTTTGGGGCTTCGGTGGTAGGAGCCAGGCATGAATTCCTCAGCCGCTACCACTTCCCCTTGGCTCTCAAGTCCTCCAAATGGGGCAGAAGCTTTGCTTGTTGCCCATAAAACGCCCATTTCCAGAACAGAAACAGACACTTCTTTAAGATCTTGCCTTCATTTTGCATCAGACTCCTACAGGCTTGGCAGTTGTCCAAGAACACCTACATTCCTTCTTATAAAGAAGATTTGTTGTTGATTCCCCTAAGCCAAAGACACAAGGCATGAGGAAATTTGCCTTAATACTCAGAAAACACTTTGGGTAGTTTGGACGAAGCCTGCCAAACGGACATGGGGGCACCAGCCTTGCCGTTCGTGGAGATGAGGTGTAGAGTCTGAACGGCCTTGCAGACAAAACATTCAGTTCCCCATCTGACACCCCCCCAGCCCCCGCTCCTACCTCCGCCTTCCCATCTCGCTCCTCAAACTCCAAGGCCCAGCCAGACTTTAAAACTCAAGGCCCTGCTAACACCCTCCCATTATTTGTTGCCTCTGCACTCACAGAAGCAATTTCTTCTTGACATTCTTTTCCTCAAGATTTCTGCTCTAGTTTGGCTCATCCTGTAGGATTCAGTTTAGCTTTCCCTCTTCAGAGGACACCGCACTCACCAGGACCTGGCCAGGTGCTTCTCCTGTGTGTCTCTGTAACCTAGGCTGGAAACAGCTGCGCTGACGCTCGCCTGCCTCTTCCTCTGCACTGCAGGCTGTGAGGGCAGAGGTGCCGCTTTTCCGTGTCTGAGTTGTCTCTCCCTCTCCAGCATCCAGTCCAGTCCCTGGGTGTCCATAAATAGTATGTGAATGAATGAAGGCCTTTCCAGGGAAGACTTGTTCAGGAAAATAAGTGCACAGATGCTAAGGTATTTTCTGAATTCAAATAAATGCCATCTCACTTGTTATTTTTCTTCCAATAGGCCAAGCTGATAGAGTTCAATCCTCTGAGGGCGACTGACGTGAAGCTCCCGAGCGGGGCGGTGTTTGTGATTGCCAACAGCTGTGTGCAGATGAACAAAGCCGCCACTTCCCACTTCAACGTCAGGGTGGTGGAATGTCGCCTGGCTGCGAAGGTACGAACGCGACCAACCAGTGGAACCCCAAATAGGCTCTTTTTCACTTCATGATGGGGTACTAATGTCTTCCCTTCCCAGTGTTCTAGGGGAACATTTTGAGGGCAGAGGCATTCTAGCCGAAGGTCACTGGGTGCGGAGCAGTTTGCTTCCAAACAGATAAATCAGTACATCTGTCTAGCCGCGAGGTCCTCTGGATTCCACCGTGGAGGAGAAAGGGGCGGGGAATGTCTGTGGAGCAGCAGGCCGTGGGTTAGCTTAGCACTGGGGAGTGACAACAGCTGGTCTTGTTTCCTCCACTGGAATCTTGTCAGCCCCTCCCCTGCTGCTCCCCTGCATGTGCTGTTTTCAATATAGGTATACCCGGTCATTTCAAAACTAGCGACTTCTCCGTGGCTGGTGGGGACACAAGGGAGTCTTGGGGTCCTCTGTTCCACAGTTCACACGACCCATCCCGGAAGTATTCAGCAAGCGGCTGTGGTACCCCCAACAGCAGACAGGGTTCAGCATTTACAGACAGACAGCACGGACAGTTAAAGTAGGAGGATACCGAATAGACAGGGTGAGCATTTAGCCAGGTGCTAAGTGTGGAAAGGGACACAGAGACGACATGCCATTGCGGGGAATCAAGGACTGGAGGAGACCGGCTGGAAGCCAAGGAAGGAACTCTTCTCTGCCTTCTGCTGCTCTTTCAGTCTTTTCGGTTCAGAACTGGCTCTTCGGTCGCTGTCACCTTTACCAGCCCCACAAGGTCTTTGAGGAGGGGGAGGGCGCAGGGGCAATGGGACCCCAGCTCAGGGCTTTTGAGTGCTGTCCCTTAGCTTTTTCACTCAAGGCTGGTGCTTTACTACTTGAGCCATACCTCCCCTTCTGGCTCTTGGCTGGTTAATTGGAGGTAAGGGTTTCATGGACTTTCCTGCCCTGGCTGGCTTTCAACCACAATTTACTCATGAATTTCTAAAGATTATGTAGGAAAACGTTTTTTTAACAGTAAGCTCTTCTTAGCATCGGATCAGTGTTTACATTCAAGAAAAGTAGCTGAGTAAACTTTTCAATAGCAAGGGTTCAATGAACGTTTTTCCCCCCCTTTAGGACACACTTCCTCTTTCAGGAGATGGAAGAAATTAGTGTCTTATTTGTTTGAGGGGTTACTTTTGTTGACTTTTTATCTTGAGGTTGATGAGTAAGTGTAGTTTTCCTAAGGAGACTTCAAAACATACACAATATTATTTTCAAGGTTTTATCACGAAATTAAGATATCCTCTACCACAGCCACAGATGAGCTAAAACCAATTCCATGGGTTCGTGTTGAGAGTCCTCTTCCAAAGATGCCAGAGGAAGATAAGAGCCAGGTGCTCATTCCTGTCACCCTAGTTACTCAGAAGGCCGAGATCTGACGATCAGAGTTTGAAGCCAGTCCAGGCAGGAAAGTTCGTGACACTTATCTCCAACACATAAAAAGGGCAAGAGTTAAACTGTGGCTCAAGTGGCAGAGTGCTAGCCTTAAGCAAGAAGCTCAGGGACAGTGCCCCAGCCCTGAATTTAAGCCTCAGGACTAGTGTGCGCACATGCGCACATACGCACACACATGCGCATACACACACACACACACACAATGAGGAAGAAAGCCAGGTGCTTGTAGTTTATGCCTACAATCCTAGCTACTCAGGAGGCTGAGACTGTAGTTCAAAGCTAGCCCAGACACTTTGTATTCATATACTGTTTTGTAGAATGGGAACTTCTTTGTACAACTACTTAAAGATAATAAAAAGATTTAAACAAAAAGCTAGCCCAGACAATAAAGTCCATGAATATTCTCATCTCCAATGAACTACAGAACAAGCTATAAATAGAGCTGTGGCTCAAGTACTAGAGTGCTAGTCTTTTGTTGTTGTTGTTTGTCAGTTGTGGGGCTTGAACTCTGGGCCTGTGCACCATCCAACAGCTCTTCAGCTCAAGGCTAGTGCTCTACCACTGGAGCCACAGTGCCACTTCTGGTTTTCTGGTGGTTAATTGGAGATAAAAGAGTCTCATGGATTTTCCTGCCCAAGGCTGGCTTTGAACTGCGATCCTCAGATCTCAGCCTCCTAAGTAGTTAGGATTACAGGCATGAGCCACTGGTACTTGGTTCAGAACTTCCTATTCTTGAGGATGTCTTTGAGTTTAACCGTAAAAAAGTGCATTTGAGGGGTACTTTGGTGTGTGTATGTAGCTTTTTTAGAACACATTCCTTCTAACTGATGTAGATAGAACACATTGTTTTAAAGACTTGTTTTTCTCCACCGGGTATTAGTGGCTCACGCCTGTAATCCTAGCTACTCAAGAGGCTGAGATCTGAGGATTGCTGCTTAAAGCCAGCCCAGGCAGGAAAGTCCGTAAGACTCCAGTTTCCAATAAACCACCAGAAAACCCGAAGTGGTGCTGTGACTCAAGTGGTAGAGCACTAACCTTGAGCTGAAGAGCTGAGGAACAGCGTCCAGGCCCAGGGTTCAGGCCCCATGACCGACAAAAAAAAAAAAAAAAGAATAGTTTTTCTCTTACAATGTGGAGGAAGGAAAGTGAAAACCGCATCACGGTGTAGGGCATTTGCTAATCATGCTTCTGCAAACCATGAGAATCCAGGGTTCAGTATAAAAGGGAGTTAAAGATAACCTGTTGATACTAGTTGCACCCAGGAGGTTGGTGTTAGGAAAATAAGCTTTTGCTCAGGAGCATCTGCTGAGATTCTGTTTTGAGATTCCATTTTTGGCAATTTGAATTTAGTTTTCTTGGAAGACACTCTTACTGAATAAGAAAATTAACTCTTAGGTAAAAAGGTAAAGAAGATGATCTCAACCTGGATGGCATTTTCTTTTTTTTTTTTTTTTTTTTTGGGGTCCGGTCGTGGGGCCTGAACTCTGGGCCTGGGCGCTGTCCCTCAGCTCTTCAGCTCAAGGCTAGCGCTCTACCGCTTGAGCCACAGCGCCACTTCCGGCTTTTTTCTTTTTGTTTATGTGGTGCTGAGGAATCGAACCCAGGGCCTCGAGCATGCAAGGCAAGCGCTCTACCACTGAGCCACCTTCCCAGCCCCTGGATGGCCTTTTCATTTCCAGACTATAGTAATGGAATGTTCATAGGAATAGGAAATAGCCATAGGGAGTAGCCATCCAGGAGAATTCCCCGAGACAAGATGGTAATGAATGACACTTACTTTCCCATACCTTCCCATCCTTCCAAAATCCCCTTTTGAAATTGAGTACCTTTCATATTTAGTTAGTACAGGAAAGTATAGTAAACCAGTAAAGATCATTTACGTCGATTTAATGTTGACAGCTCCTTCTTTGCTCGTTTCCTTTCTCTTTCTCTCTACATCATCTTCTCAAAACTAGTTGAAGCTGGACAGGGTGACCTATACCAGTAATCATAGCATTTGGGAGGCAAATGCAAGGAAGATCATGAATTTGAGGCCAGCTTGGGCTACATAGAGAATTCTTGTCTGAAAACACACACACACTTAATTGGCTTAGATTCATTAAAAGTCAGTCTTGTAGAGCATTTGAACTAAAGTAAAAACATTTCAAAACAAACTCAATAGAGAGTTATAATTATTACTTGCGTAAGTGATACTTTTAAGTGAGGCGCATGTTTATGTTCTTAAATTAAACAAGTAGCCAAGGATCTTTAATGGGCACAAAATCCTTCACATTTTACATGTATTTCATGGCGTAAGCTTTTCCAGAAATATTTTATGTCTATAAAGGAGCGTTTCCTTTAGTTACACTGAGGGATAAAATATGTGATGCCAATAATAAGTGTGTTGGGAAGGCAGGAATGGAAGGGGAATTGTATTGCTGCCTCTTGCACATCCTGAGCTCTCTGTGGTAAGTTAGTGAGATGCAGTGACAGAGGGAGTTTCATGTGGTCCTTTGACACTCCAAGGGAAGCTTACAGCGACTTTTTAGAGAGCCTGTCTGGTTAAGGGGCATCACCCACCCAGTTCCTCAGCTCCCGTCACTTAGTGCTGCATATGGAACTCATTCTTTGTCTGCTGATAGAATGAATGTGCGAAGTTGGCCTAATGTTCTCCGGGCTTTGCCGTTTCCTTGTATTTCAGCAGAGAAAAACCAAATACCCAGGAATGTGGTCAATTTCACTCACTCTGTTGGCTCAGTCAGACACAGTCTGCCAAGAGGAGAGTGGAGTTTCTGGAGAACGGGGACTCCAGGCTCACAGCAGAGCGGACAAGGCGATGCGTGCCCAGTGGAGCCAGGGTGTGGCAGGGCCTTCCTTCTCAGCCGGACGAAGGACCTCCCAGGCTTGGCTTTGGAAGAGAGGCCAGGGATCTTAGGAACGTCAGTCTGACAGTAGGAACTTCTGACTTGATTGAAGGGAAGTGGGCGCAGGATTTCAGGAAGGTGGGCTGGAAGGGGAGAGAGATGAGGGAAGCCATAGCAACGGGTTGAATAAAAGACCTTTGGTAAGCCGGGCGCTGGTGGCTCACGCCTGTAATCCTAGCTACTCAGGAGGCTGAGATCTGAGGATCGCGGTTCAAAGCCAGCCCGGGCAGGAGAGACCGTGAGACTCCTATCTCCAATAAAACACCAGAAAACCGGAAGTGGCACTGTAGCTCAAGTGGTAGAGCGCTCGCCTTGAGCTGAAGAGGGACAGCGCCCAGGCCCAGAGTTCAAGCCCCACGACCGACAAAAAAAAAAAGACCTTTGGTGTTAGATTTCATTTCACTCTTGGCACAAATACTATTCTCCCCCTGTTCTCCCCCCTTGTTGGTGGTGTTGTTGTTTTGGTGATGTTTGAGATCAAACCCAGAGCCGTACACATACAGGGCAAGCCCTTTCCCACTGAGCCATACCCCAGTCCTGCATGTTACTCTTTTGAGAAGTTTTCCAGGGCCCCTTTCCTCCCTGCCCCTTGCCCTATTTTTTTTTTCTCCCAGGGCTGAGGACCAAACCCAGGGCCTTGCGCGTGCGGGGCGGGCACCCTTCTGCTGGGCTAAACCCCCAGCC